TCTGATATTGTCAGCTGTGACTGGAAGTGTGTCCCGAAAATGTAAAACCATTACAGACTCTTCCAGTGGCAGTACCACCGGTGGTGCATCTGCCAGCGGGAGGCAACTCAATGCATCTGCATTTGCTACTTGGCCTCCTGGACAGTGCTCCAACTTGTAATTATACCTGCTTAGTATTAGAGACCACCACTGAATTCCACCTGAAGTTATGGGCAGCACTGCCTTGCCTTCTTTATGTAGACCTAGCAGGGGTTTGTGGTCTGTTATTATTACAAATTTACATCTGTAAAGGCATTGGTGCAATTTCCTGACTCCAAATATGACCGTCAAACCTTCCTTCTCTATCTGGGAGTATTGATGCTCTGCATTAGTCAAAATCCTAGATGCATACGTCCTTAGGTGTTCCTCTCCATTGGGCCATCTATGATCTAATACTACCCTGGTCTTGTCAACTCTGTAGCCCAAATAGGTGACTTGCGGAGCCTTGAACATATATTTTTCCCTTCTAAGGCCCGCCTGGGAGAAACATTTAAGGACTATGTCCAAATTCTCTAAGTTCTCCTTATTGATCTTCCCTGTTATTAGCACATCATCCAAATAAATAGCGATCTTGTAAAATGTTCTCCATCATCCACTGAAAAATTCCGCAGGCTGACGCTACCTCAAATGGCAATCTCAACTATTGGTACAATTAATTGTAGTGAACCTCTGGGAACCCTCATCTAACCGCAATTGCAAGTATACATGGCTCATGTCCAGCTTTGTGAAGGACAGCCCTCCCATCCTCTGCCAGCTTTGTGTATAAATCCTCTGTGCAAGTGTTGGGTATTTATCCAGCTGCAAGAAGTAGTTTACTGTTTGCTTGAAATCCTCACAAAGGCAAACCAACACATCGAGCTTCACAATTAGTACAACTGGTGCTGCCCGATCTGCAAATTGGATTGATTTGATGATCCCTTCACTTTCCAGCCTCCCGATTTCTGCCTCTACTTTTGCCTGTAAGAGAAATGGCACTGGGCAGGCCTTGCAGAATCAGGGAATTGCTTCCTGGTCAACATGCAAGTTGCCTTGGCTCCTCTGATAGTCCCTAGACCTTCCTGAATACCTTCTGGGTAGCTGATTAGGACCTCAGTCAGGCAACCATTTTCTAATCGAAACATGTTGAGCCAATCGAGGTGAATCTTTCTCAACAAATTTCACCCCATGAAGCTTGGTCAGAGCCTTTTAGTACAATCAGTGGTAACTGAACCAGCTGCTTCTCGTAAGGGACAGGAACCAAAGTTGTACCCTTAATCTGTAAAGGTTCCCCAATACAGGTTCTCAGTCTAGCCAGGATCTTGCGCAAACTTAAGGGTGGGAGCCCAGAGCGAATTTTATTAAAGACTGATTCTGTGATCACTGAATCAGCCAAGCCGGTATTACCTATAGTATGCACTTCAGTGAAGCCTTTGACAAGGTTCCACATGGTAGATTAATTATTAAAGTGGGATTCAGGGTGATCTTGCCAATTGGAGACAAAATTGGCTTCACGGTAGGAGACAGAGGGCTTTTGTGGTGGGGCTGCTTTTCAAACTGGAGGCCTGTGACTAGCGGCGCTCACAGGGATCGGTGCTGGGTCCACTTCTGTTTGTCACTTGGATGAGAATGTAGGAGGCATGGTTAGTAAGTTTGCAAATAACACCAAAATTGGAGGTATTGTGGACAGTGAAGAAGGTTATCTAAAATTACAAAGAGATCTTGATCAATTGGGACAATGGGTTGAGGAGCGGCAGATGAAGTTCAATCTGGATAAATGCGAGGCATTGCATTTTGGTAAAACAAACAAGGGCAGGACTTACACAATTAATGGTGGGCTGTTAGACAGTGTTACAGAGAGACCTAGGGGTTCGGGTAATAATTCTTTGAAATTTGCATCACAGGTAGACAGGATGGTTAAAAAGGCATTTGACATGCTTGCTTTCATTGCTCAGGTCTTTGCGTATTGGAATTGGGACGTCATATTAGGTTGTACAGGATGTTGGTGAGGCCTCTTCTGGAATACTTTGTCCAGTTCTGGTCACCCTGTTATAGAACATAGAACATAAAACAGTCCAGCGCAGGAACGAGCCCTTAAGCCCATGATGTTGTGCTGAACATGACGCCAAATTAAACTAATCCTTTCTGCCTGCCCTTGGTCCATATCCCTTCATTCTTGCATTTTCATGTGCTTATCCAAAAGCCCCTCAAATGCCACTATCGTATCTGCCTCTACCACCACCCCTGGCACTGCGTTCCAGACTCCTACCACTCTCTGTGTAAAAGCTTTGCCCCTCACATCTCCTTTGAACTTTCCCCTCTCACCCTAAATGCATGCCCTCTAGTATTGGACATTTCAAATCTGGGAAAAAGATTCTGACCGTCAACCCTATCCATGCATCTCATAATGTTATAGACTTCTATCAAGTCTCCCCTCAGCCTGCGCTGCTCCAAAGAAAACAACATGAATTTTCTAGCCTGTCCTTATAGCTCATACCCTCTAATCCAGGCAGCATCTTGGTAAACCTCTTCTGCACCTCTCCTAAGTCTCCATATACTTCCTGTAGTGTGGTGACCAGAACTGAACACAGTACTCCAAGTGTGGCCTAACCAAAGGCTTATAAAGCTGTAACATGACATCCTGACTCTTGTATTCAATGCCTTAACCAATAAAGGCAAGCATGCCATATGCCTTCTTTACCACATTGTCTACTTGTGTGGTCACTTTCAGGGAGCTATGGACTTGAACCCCAAGATCCTTCTGTACATCAGTGCTGTTCAGGGTCCTGCCATTAACTGTATACTTTCCCTTAACAGTGGATCTCCCAAAGTGCAGTACTCGCACTTGCCCAGATTAAACTCCATCTGCCATTTCTCCACCCATATCTACAACTGATCTATATCCAGCTGTATCCTTTGACAACCTTCTACAGTATCCACAACTCCACCAATCTTTGTATAGTCTGCAAACTTACTAACCCACCCATCTATATTTTCATGCAGTCATTTATATATATATCACAAACAGCAGAGGTCCCAGTATGTATTCCTGCAGAACACCACTAGTCACGGATCTCCAGCCAGAAAAACACCCTTCCACCACCTCTGCCTTCTATGAGCAAGCCAATTCTGAATCCGAGCAGCGAAGACACTGGATCCCATGCATCTTAATCTTCTGGATTAGCCTACCATGAGGGACCTTGTCGAAAGCCTTACTGAAATCCATGTAGATAACATCCACTGCTCTATCCTCATCAATCGCCTTCATCACCTCCTTGAAAAATTCAATCAACTTAGTAAGACATGACCTGCCCCGCACAAAGCCATGCTGACTGTCCCTAATTAGACCATGCTTTTCCAAATGCTTGTAAATCCTATCCCTTTGAATTCTCTCCAGTAGCTTCCCAACCACCAATGTGAGACTCAGTGGTCTATAGTTTCCTAGATTATCCCTATTTCCCTTCTTGAACAGAGGAACAATATTAGCTGCTCGCCAGTCCTCCAGGACCTGTCCAGTGGCTACCAAGGATACAAAGATCATGGTCAAGGCCCCAGCAATCTCCTTTCTTGCCCCTCTCAATAACCTGGGGTAGATTCCATAGGGCCATGGAGACTTATCCACCTCAATGCTCTTCAAGAAACTAAACACCACTTCTCTCTTGATCTCAAAGTGCATATTAGCATGCTCCACATTAATCTCACTACCCTCCATGTCCTCCTCTTGGGTGAATACCGCGCAAATACTCATTTAAGATCTCGTCCATAATCTCTGTCTCCAAGCACAACTTCCCTCCTTTATCCTTGAATGGTGTTTTAGTCTCTTGAATCCATCTTCCATCCACCTCCCCCCTCTCTCTATTTATTTCAGAATCCCCTTCCTCTCCCCCATTTCTGAAGAAGGGTCCAGACCCAAAACGTCAGCTTTCCTGCTCCTCTGATGCTGCTTGACCTGCTGTGTTCATCCAGCTCTACACCTTGTTATCTCTTAACACTTAAGGAGTTGTGATCACTGTTTGCAAAATGATCTCCCACACTAAGGTCAGTCACCTGACCAGGGTCACTAGCCAATACAAGGTCAAGTATGGTCCCTCCTCTCGTTGGACTATCCACACACTGTTTCAAGAAACCCTCTTGGATGCATCTAACAAATTCTGTCCCGTCTAAGCCTCTTGCTGTAAGGGAGTCCCAGTCAATACTGGTGAAGTTAAAGTCACCTACTAAGACAACCCTGTTCTTATTGCATCTTTCCATAATCTGACTACATATTTGTTCCTCAATGTCTCGGTGGCTGTTGGGAGGCCTATAATATCATCCCATCAAAGTAATTGCACCCATCTTATTTTTGAGCCCTACCCACATTCCCTCAGTAGATGAGCCCTACAGTATGTCCTGAGTGCAGATGTGACATTCTTCCTCATGAGTAATTTATATTTCAATGATATACTTTATTCTTTATTTATGCTTTAGTGTGTTCCTTAGCAATTTGTCCAGGACCTTGGCATGTGCCAGTCTGCAACGCTCAGTCTGGGTCAACTCCTTGTTCTGGAAGACGAACAAGTTTCAGGCAGACTAAGGAGCGTCATCCCCGGAGTTGATGGTCCTCCAGCTGCAGTCGATGTTTGTCTTAGAGTGCGAACAGACCATAGAGCATCGGGTCCTGCATCACAGATCTGCTTGGGACGAACCTCGACAAAAACCACAGCATCTTTCTCCAGACTTCCTTTGCAAAGGCACATTCCAGCAAGAGATGTGTGACAGTCTAACCTTACCGCCCCTACCTCCGCAGCTGTTTCAAAAGCAGCATGTGGTCTCGCAGACTGATGGGGCATACTTGAAGGATCTCACAAGTAGTGCTCCTCTCACCATCAGCCAAGTAATGTCCTGGTGCTTGTTGGAAAGTTCTGGTGATGAGGCATTCTGCCAAATGACTTTGACAGTCTGCTCAGGGAACAACCCAATAGGATCCACCCTCTCCTTTTCCTTCAGGGTCTCGAGGATGCTACGCGCTGACCACTTCCTGATGGACCTGTAGTCAAAGGTGCTTTTCTTTGCAAATTTCTCCATGAAGGACAGGTGATATGGAACAGGTGATACGGAACAGTCCAATGGCTCCCAGAATGCATCCTCAGTGACGTCTCTCTGCCGCCCACTGTTGGACAGAATATTATTAAAATGGAGAAGGTTCAGAAAACATTTATCTGGATGTTGCTGGGAATGGAAGGTTTGAATTATAAATGTTGGACAGATAGGCTGGGGCATTATTCACTGAAGCATAGGAGGTTGAGGGATGACATAATAGAGGTCTATAAAATCATGAGGGGCATAGATAAGGTGAATAGCAACTTTCTTCTTTCTAGGGTGAGGGAGTTCAAAACTAGGGGACATATTTTTAAGGTGAAAGGAGAAAGTTTTAAAAAGGATATGAAGGACAACTTTTTTACACATTAGAGTGGTTTGTGTGTTGAATGATCTGCCAGAAGGGGTGGCGGATGAAGGTATATTTACAAAATTTGAAAGACATTTGGATAAATAGGAAATGTTTGGAGGGGAATGGGCCAAATGCAGGCAGGTGGGACTAGTTTAGTTTGGGAACATTGGTGGACTAGTTGGACTGAATGGTCTGTTTCCATGCTGTATGACTCTATGACTCAATAACTCTATAACATCCATTAGACCCGAGTGATCATTTAACCACACAGTGATTTTGATTGGTTCTGATTTGGATGTTGCTTAGCAGTATAACTGGTTCAAACCAGATGTAGGCAGATTTTCCAAGGTGTGCACTCTCCTGGATACTGACCTATGAGTTCACTTTCCCAGTTTAGGCCTAGTGGTATTCTTTTACTGTATCAAGTCCACATACTGGCAGCAACTGCAATGGCTTGCCAGCCCAGATCCTGAGGAACATTTTAACCATTTGGCTGGAGCTTGACTTTGTTTTGGGGTTTTGCTGTGGGCTGACCTACAGCCCCCTCTGTTAAGGATATGTCCTGAGTGAAGCTATGCAACTGTCTTCACTCAAGTATTATCCCCCAAGGTCAGTCAGCCTGGCAAGGGTGCCCACTTCCATTGGCATTTTCTGCATATGCTCCACTTGTGGCATTTTCCAATGATAAAGCCAGTTGTAGTGCCTATTTGAAGTCCTGTTGGGCCACAGCTAATAGGCGCTTTTGCATGGTTACGTCATTAATCCCACATACCAGCTGGGGTCTTAGCATCTCATTCAGGGTTAAATCAAATTCACATCCCTCTGTCAGTCATCTTTATCTCGTCAAAAGTCCTGATACGGATTCTCCTGGTTCTCGAACTGCCAAGTATAACTGATAGCATCTCAGAATTAGAGGAGGTTTGGGGTGAGAATTTTCCTTAACCAAATCTGTCAACTCTTGAAAGGTTTTAGTACCTGGTGCCTCAGGGAAAGTTAGGCTCGTAATAACCGAATAAGCCGTGTGTCCACAAGCTGTCAGAATAATTACCCATTGTTTCCATCTGCCCAATGTATTTTCCCAGAGAAAATAACTCATTCTTCCCACATACTGGGCCCAGTCTTCGATGACAGGATCAAACAGGTCAAGCTTCCCAAATACAACAAAAACAGAAATTGCTGGAAAAGCTCAGCAGATCTGGCAGCATCTGTGGGGAGAAATCAGAATTAATGTTTCCGGTCCGGTGACCCTTCCTCAGAACGAAAGTTCAAATAATACTTCCCCAACTCAAAGACAACGGTTGCGAGTGAATTTCTTCAGGAGCATGCTTTTCTCTCATCACCACTGAAATAACTCCACAGAGGCCAGTATCCTGTCACTAAGTCACCCTTTAGTTACATGTGGAGAGTCCTTGACACTGCTGCGAAGTTGAGTAAGGTACTTATGAATTGGGAGACAAGAAGTTGGAATTTGGTGTTTGTAAAATGTTAGGGGGGAAAGCATTGTGTGGTCCTTTTAAAAGATCATGTGCTTTTTTTCTGAGCTTAGAGATTTAAAATAGATGTCTGAGAGTAGCGGCTTGAAAGTTTGCAAGTACACAGACAGCACCTGAATTCAAACATTTGTACTGACAGGCTGTACAGTTAGCAGGCCAAGCAGCACTTTCCACCAAGACAACAGACTTTTAAATTTAGCCAATCAATTTGAACCAGGTACTTAGATACAAAAAATCTATTAAATTTCATTCTGATGGTTTTGACAACATAGGACCAATCCTATTGTAAGAAAAATTGATATATCATTGAGGGTATAAAAAGAAGGGGGCACTTGAACAAAGACCCAGAACTAACTGCCATCTGCCAAGCTAACAGCCATCATCTCTCAAGAGAGAACCACTGGCTCTCACAGTCTCCTTTCTGTTTTAGAGAAAGCACCACCTAAATAACAAAGGTACCCTTGGCACAACTAGTTAACATTCCTGACAGACGAATCAAAAGAGAAGGCACAGAAAATTCTGGAAGACCTGGCTGTAATTACGAGAGACTAATTTTGTTTTATATAAGTGGGACTTATTGGAACAGTATACAATTAGAATCTCGTTTTATTCGGGAATAGTTAGTAGTTAAAAGGGATTTATTTGGCTTGTTAATAATTTAGTTATTTTGTTCGCTGTTAGAGTTAGATAAACAATTGTTACTTGTTGATTTTAAAGTGAGTGTCAGGGATTGATTTTATTTAACCACTAGAAATTGCTGAAAGGAAGGTTACACCACTTTTCACATTCTCTTTATGGATTATAGAGCAAGGTACTCCTCTTTGAGGGTTTCAGTGCTAGTTCTCAGAGGGGGGGGTGGGGGTCAACCTCTGCTTTGTAACAAAACTGATTCAGCTCCTTCAAAGCTGGCTGACAGAGTGAACTGAACCTCTGATATTCCTGTTCTTATCTGTCAGCCAGGGCTCCCTGATTGGACCAGATTAACAGCTCCAATCAGGGAACTCATGTTCTATGAGATCCATCTGGCTGACCTCATTACAATCACTACACATTCCTGGTAATTGTAATTATTGAGCTATTGCTACATTTATCTCCCTTTGCCTCACAGACACAGGCAACTCCAACTTCAACTTGCTTGCCAGTTCCAAAAGTTTAGCCTTGCTCACTTTCTGTAAAACATCCAAGGTGACTTTTTTCACCTCCAGAAAACTCTTAGAGACTGCAAGAGTCAGTACCACACAAGGTACACCCTGTTTAAAACAACCAAATACAAAACCCAAAGAAAAAACACTAACACCCACCACTCACTATCTTTGAGTCCAATATCCTAAACCCAACCTGGAATTAGAAATTTTGATCCCGACAGAAGCCCCCCATTTGTTACGAACCACACCAAACCCCCTTAAAATATTCAGAAGATGGTCTAGACCCTACCTTTTACTTATTTTAAAAGTAAATGTAAGGTGTTTAATTAACAGAATAATAGATACACTAAATATTACTAATGAACTGCTCCAATATCATAACATACCTTAAACACACACTTGGCAAAAGACAAATTTAGAAAACAGATTGTCTCACATGCAACTCCAGTAGCAGGAAGAAAACCCCCAGCTTTTGGTTGTAAATGAGAGAGGGAAAAAATAGCTTCCACTTTGTCAAAACTCCAACAGCAACTGCTGAAAGCTTAAACGAAAAATCCTGATTCTGTGAGAGCTTGACCATACCCATTGAGACCGCTTCAATTGTTCCAATTTTTAAAAAAAACCAAACCATCACAGGCTGTTTACTCTAGCGGCTCCGGTAGACTGCTTGGTGGCTCTGCCTTAAAACCTCTCTTCAAAAAAAGGAACAAAAAACACCTCTTAAAGTCACAGCATTGTCACAAATGTCACTGGGAGAAAGTCCCAGAACTTGCTCTAAGTGCTGTAGCGTTCACATAAACTGTGACAGTTCAAGAAGGCAGCTCACCATCACCTTTAGAGGGCAATAAGGGATGGGTAATTGAAATAACTGCTCAAAGGCTGGCATCCCATCACCAAATCACCTTTTATTTACATGTGCACAAGTATGGACTCTGACCAGCTCACAGCTAGTCCCTAGAATGAAGAGACTTTCTGAATTGTCTGTCTATACTTTTTCTCTAAGAGGAAAAAAAATTCTAATCAACCTGTTCAGAGATGTTATTACGTGTCATTGGAGCAGGTGGGACTTGAACCCAGGGCCTCTTGGTCCAGCGATAGGGTCACTACCACCGTGCCACAGAAAGGCCATCTCATCTGTTTATATCTATCAGCCAGGGGTCCCTGATTGGCCCAGGTTAACACACCCAATCAAGGAACTCACAGTCAATGGATCGATCTAGCCCTCATTCCAATCACTACGTCAGTAAATGCTGGGCCTAGCCAGCAACGGCCACATCCCATGGGCAAGACATTGGTTAGGCCATTTTTGGAATATTGCATGCAATTCAGGACCCAACTGGTTCACTAATGCCATTTAGGGAAGGAAACTGCCATCCTTACCTGGTCTGGCCTACATGTAACTCCAGACTCACAGCAATGCGGTTGACTCTTAACTGTCCTCTGGGCAACCTTGCCAGCCATGTTTGCATCCTGTGAACAAATAATTTTTAAAAAATTCTCAAACGTTGATATTTAATCAGATAGAAATCTCATTCTTAACCACTCCACGTTATATGTGGATTCGCCATATAATTATATAAACGTTTACATCAGGGAACCAGGCCATTCAGCCCAATAGGCCTATGTCAACCTTTCTATTCCAGATGTCTCACATCTCAGAGTGTCCTTCTCGTCCCTGTTTTCCCGCTCATGTAGTTTGTTCTTTTTTTTATCTATGCATTCCACATCCCCGCCGCCCTCTTCTGGGTAAAGGAGGTTCTCCTGAACTCCCCGCTGAGTTTATTTTTATATCTAGCGGCGCATGTTCTCAAGTGGAAACACATTTCCTCGCTCCCTGTGATTGTAAGGAGTTGCCGGCCTTCACTTTGCTGCAGAGAGAGAAGAGCTGTCCAGTCGGGAGGGGTGTTGCCCCATGTGTACCGTCTCCTGTGCAATATCAGCTGTGGAGTGGAGACCCCCGGCAGCAGAAGGGGGAATCCTGCCGCTACGTCACCGGATGGGGGCGGGGCTGGGGAACCCCCTGTTGACGTAACCAGGAGGCGGGGCCCTCTGCTACAAAAGCATGCGTGGGGCTGGGAGGAGATGAGGAGATTTGTTACAGGTTTGTAGAGACAGCGAGGCTCGGGCAAGCCACTGGGATGAAATCGCATCAGGGCAGGAAGACAGCGGCATGTAAGTGCGGGCACCGAGTGCCTCACACACTCTCTCTGCCCAGGTCCTGCTGCTCCAAAACCGCCTACAAATAACACAAGGCTGCAATCTCACTGTCGGCGGGGGCAAGGATAGACCCTCGAGTAAGAAGAGGAGGGAGATTCCTGTTTAATACAGAATTAACGTGAGAGAGGGGACATTCCTGTTCATAGACAGAGGGCAGGTTAAGAGAGGAGGGGAGGTTTCTGATTATAGAGAGAAGGTAGATTAGTGTGGGAGAGGGTTTGGAGGAAGAGGTAGGGAGAGAAGCTATTCCTGTTTAACCTGCCTCCTGTCTATAATGTGAAAGAGAAGATGGGGTGGGGTGGGAGATTTCTGTATATAGACATTACAATCTAATGTGGCAGATAGGAGAGAGTTCATTAGGGTAGGCTCATGTTTGAAGGATCCTGAAAGGACGGAGAAAACAACTTTGTGTTTGAGAAAGAACATGTTTGGGTCTACTATGAGCGAGGACAGTGGTGCAAAGCTTGCGGCGCAGAATGAAGCCACTCGGCCCGGAAATCGCGAGAGACCTTTTGGGGGCAAGTTTTTGGAACGTTATGTAAGATCTTCTCTGTAACGTGAAGCCTCTGTGTGCCACTCTTTCAGTACTGCACTGAGCTGACTATCTAGATAATCTGCTGACCCCATAGGTTGCGATTTAGAAATGAGTGCCATGCTGTTTGGGGAGTAAAAGGGTGACTGTCCAACATTTGGGCTGCGAGCCTGGATGGTAAATTGCACCTAAAATATTTCTCTAGCCCTTTCTGTTGCTAAAGGACTGCAGAATCTTCTGCAATTGTTTTAGCTTTGCTGCTGAGGGATAGCTGCTCAAGGACTCCTGCTGTTAGCTGAATGAGACTTTCTGTGCGCATCATGTCCTTTTTCGTTTGCGCGATGTGGTCGTCACTAGTCAGGCTGTCATTTGTTACTCACCCCTAATTGTCCTTGAACTGAGTGGCTTGTCCTGCTGATTCTGAGGGCAGTTGAGAGTCATGCATGTTCTTGGGGGCGGAGTCACATGTAGGCCTAAAAAAAAACATAGAATAGAATCCCTACAGTGTGCAAGCAGGCCATTTGGCCCAGTGAGTCCACACTGACCCTCTGAAGGGTATTGCACCCAGACCCACCTCGTCCCTGTAAGCCTGCATTTCCCATGACTGAACTACCTAACCTACACATCTCTGGATGCTATGGGCAATTTAGCATGGCCAATCCACCTCACCTGCATGTCTTTGGACTGTGGAAGGAAACCAAAGCAAATCCACACACACAGGGGAGAACGTGCAAACTGCATACAGACAGTCGCCAGAGGGTGGAATCGAACCCAGGTACCTGGTGCTGTGATGCAGCAGTGATAACCACTGAGCCGCCCATGTTCGCTAAAGGATGTCAGTGAACTAGATTGGTTTTAACATTAGCCAACAGTAGTTGTTGTGGTCACCGTTATGGAGATCAGCTTTATATGCTTACAGTTCACTGAATTTAAATTGTGGCACTTCCTGTAGTGGATTTGAACCGGTGCTGCTACAGTATTAGTCTAGGACTCTAGAGTAGTTACTAGCGCCACTTTCCACAATTTTATACCTTAAAGTCTTGTTTGTGTTGCAGCAAGGATGGAGGATGAAGATCTGAGTGCTGTCCTCTGTGAGTTTAATGCAGTCATTGAGGATTTTGCCTCCCCCACAGACAAGAGACATTTCCAATATGATGAACATTTAAGATGCATGAAAAGGCGGAACAGCACAAGCACTAGTGATGGTGGCATGAGTGACTCAGACAGTGAGTATTCAATACTGAGGAAGGTGTGTGTGCGTGCGTGCATGTTCCAAAGTCCTGGATGCCTAAGTGCAGCATCTAATGGTCCTTTAAACTGATTTAAGGATCTATTTCTACCACTCCATGAAGATGCTTGTGGCTAACATTCTCCACGCCAGAAGATGAATTTCCTAAACATCAAACCTAAATTGGTGTTTCACCAGTTTAATGCCCTCAACCTCCAATTAATGCGCAAAATATATTTTCCCCACTGCCTTGACTTTCTTGTCTATCTGCTGCAAGATCTCTTCTCTGCCCTCCTTTTCTGAGCTGATAAGTTCTTTTCTTTTGAAATCAGACTGAACACAGAGCTTCGTTCCTGTTGATACTACCGTGTGTTGCTGGCTGTTCTCTATTATCTCTGACTATTACCATCTCTAACTTGTACACTTCAATTTACTGTTGTTTCAATGCCGTGTTGGGGCAAGTTGTTCTGCATTGTTCTCTCAGCTACCCACCCTTTTCACTTAATTCTCGAATGTATCCTGCATGCTGTGAAATTAATTATTCTATGCTGTATACAAAATGCATGACTTTTTCCACTTGGATGGGCAAGATTATGGTGTTTTGAACCTCTGCTGCACAGCAAACTGGTCCCCGCTTTTTCATCTGTTAGCATTCTTTGATGTGCATGTTCTAGCTAAGTGATCAGTATGTTAGTTCCTGTTCTTAACTGTTTTTTTTTAAACAGGTACAGATTCACTTCAGAGAGACAGCTTCAACTTCAAGAAGCTTAATAGTTGCACACTTTCATCGCCTAAAGGTATTGTTGCTTTCTCTCTCATTCTTGTCTCTCTTAGCTGATTGGCCTTACTATCCAAGCGTTGATTTCGGGAGTTTGTGCTGAGCCATGTAAACTAGTAATTTTTGTTGGAAAAACGTCAAACTTGGTGAAGGGGTTATTTCATTAGTTTGTGATGTTGATTTATTATTTTTTTGCCCTGCCAAATTAACTGAGTGCATAGCTTTGTCAGGGATGTGGGCATCACTGGCAAGGCTGGCATTGATTACCCATCCTTATCTTGAACTGAATATCTTGCTCAGGCCATTTCAGAGCAGTTTAGAAGTCAGCTGCATTTCTATGGGTCTGGAGTCATGTGTAGGCCAGGCCAGCTAGGGATGGCAGATTTCCTTCGCTAAAGGTCATTAGTGAATCAGATGGGTTTTTACAACAATGAATGCTTTCATCATCATCACTGGCTTTCAATTTCAAACTTATTAGCTGCCCTGGTGGGAATTTGAACCAACAGTCCCAGAGCATTAGCCCAGTCCTCTGAATTGCTCATGATATTACCAAAACACTTACCCCTGCTGTAGTGTGAGCATACCAATCGAGTTCCTCACAATAAGCTGCCAGCTGTAATGGTCATTTTTTTTTTAAGAAGTTCAGTCCACTACCACTATCCTGATTTTTAAACAAAGCAAGACATGTAATCAGCAGCTCATCTTGCCAACAGGTGAAAATCAAACATTGCCAAACCCAGTTTAAAAAGCTTCAATCTTTTTTGCAGCAAAGCTCGGCGACACCAAGGAATTGGAAGACTTTATTGCTGATTTAGATAGAACTTTAAAAAGTGAGTATTTTGTTTTATTTGCTGCAGTAGCAACAAGCACAAAGACATTTCCATTGTGTGCTCTCAATGTGCTGACTAATAGAAACATAGATTAGCAAAACATTTTCCAGTTTCCAATTGTGATAGCACCATAGGAATAGGAGTAGACCATTAGCCCATCAGCAATACTGTTATGACTGATCAAACAGTTCAATGCCATTACTTCCCCATCCCCATAATCCTATACATCATTGATAATCCCGAGTAAAAACGCTTCTCATCTCAGATGCAAAGATATATGCTTACATGGATCTCCCCAGATTAATGTGATGCAAACTTTTAAATTAATTTAGCAAAATTCTTCCAATCCAATATCTGCTAGACCTTTCTCAATGGAATTATGAAATGGAAGAGCATTCAGCTATATATGGAGATCTGTTATAGTATTATGCTCAGATTACCCTGTTCATTACTTCTGTGTGGAGTGGAAGCAGGCCATTTGGCCCATTGAGACCACACCAACCCTCTGAAGAGTGTCCTACCCAGAACCACTCCCTACCCTATCCCTGTAGCCCTGCACGTCCCATGGCTAATTCACCTAGCCTACATATCCCTATACACAATGGGCAATGCGCAATGACGTTATGGGGATAGGAACAGGCAGTCTTAGTGATGGCGCAGAAGTGAGGTTGTACGTTCATCGCAGGGTCAAATGTGACAACAAGATTGCAAACAGTGGTTTCAACTCAGACTGGTGTCATGGAGATGGATGGAGGGGTAGCTCAGCAACAGAGTTTGGAGCAGCAAAGGTAAATGATGGCTTCAGTTTTCCCAACATTTTATTGGAAGAAATTTCTGCATCTCTTTGGCCTGTTGTGGGGGTGGAGTGAGAACCCAAGCACCTAGAGGAAACCCAAGCAGACATAAGGAAAACATGCAAAGTCCACACAGACAGTCATCTGAGGCTGGAATTGAACCCAGGTCCCTAGTGCTGTGAGGCAGCAGTGCTAACCACTGGGCCACTGCACTGCCCCAGTGATGTTTGGAGGTGGCAGGGCATTGGGTGCTCAATTGTACACTTGAGGCATTTCCCAGTTGAAAGTGTATGGGCTTGGGTAATGATGAGACCAGTTTGCCAGGGTATAGAGATTTAACACTGCACTGGTACCAGTTACCAGCTACCAGAAGCTCCAATACAGCTGGAAGACATGTTCAAGCAGGGGCTGACTGATATAGCTTCTCTTTGCAAATATTCATGACTAATATATTTTTCCTGTACCATGTTAATTCATAGATATGTGAGAAGAGGCAGCAAAGCCTACATCTTGGTCTTGGAAAACCACACCATGTAAATACTCCATCTACAATCTGTCTGTGTCAAAAAGTGGCCGTATTTTTAGGCGGAGTCTTGGAACAGGTTTCTCAATCAGTAAATACATTTCAGAACAACTTCTATTTCAATTACATTTTAATATTTGCATGCTATGCATTTTTAGTAAAAGGGTTTAGAATCTAATTTTTAGACTGTAGAAAGACTGTCTATGATGGGTGTTCACATGGTGGTTGGGGGAGGGGAAGGCCATAGGTTTGAGAGCAGTGACAAGCCAATTTATCCACAGCTTGGGAGAGGAGGATATGTGGCATGTTGGGGGACTCTGGTTTGGGAGAAAGCTTCTGGCTTTGGGCACTGCTGCAGTTGGGCAGGAGGGTAAATCTAGATGTTGGAAGGAGTAGGACTGCTTTCATTGTGTTAAATTAGTCAGCATCAGGTTTGTCCTTGCTCTGTATATGAACACATGTCCTGCCCACCATATTGAATGAACCAGCTTCTAGACTGGTGTCCTATAGCAGCATATTATCGTCAAAATAAAAATGTGCCTTCTTTTTAAATAG